TCATATAATACCCGACGTTTAATATAGGCGATACTCGATCTTTAAGTCATATAATACCCGACGTTTAATATAGGCGATACTCGATCTTTAAGTCATATAATACTCGACGTTTAATATAGGCGATAATCTACCTTTAAGTCATATAATACCCGACGTTTAATATAGGCAATACTCGATCTTTAAGACAGATACTACCCGACGTTTAATATAGGCGATAATCTACCTTTAAGTCATATAATACCCGACGTTTAATATAGGCAATACTCGATCTTTAAGTCATATAATACCCGACGTTTAATATAGGCGATAATCTACCTTTAAGTCATATAATACTCCACCTTGGTAGTCTAAACAATCTCACTTAATAGGCAAGTTAGTTCTCGAATCTTATTTTAGAAGTAGCTTGGTAGAAGGGAAGAATTATGGTAACTTGAATTGTTAAAAAAGTGTCTCATTAGCAGGAGGCAGAAGAGTCGATTGTAGTGCGAAGGGGAGTTAACCCTGATGGCTAGAAATGTATACGTCGGTCTATCATAAGAAAATAAACACTGCTGCGAGCAAAAGTCATTAAAAAGAATTGACGTCTCACTTTTTATGTAGAATGTATTAGCTTTTGCGGCAAACAGAGAGAAACTTGGGGCATTCACCCGCCACGACAAAGAACCCTTTACATTGCTAGGTTTGCAGGTGTGAGCCGTTACGTGCTTCAATCACAAACACACGCAGTCGTGCTCCCCTGAAAAAAATTGAGGGAAGAAGCAGCGTGGTTGAATGTTTTATAAAATCAAAGGTAATATAAATCCATAGGAAATATTTGTGGCACAATTAATCTAGTTTCTATCTGTTGTTAAGTTTCGTTTTTTGATTATAGTAGGTCAATAACTGTTTTAACAAGGCCATGTTTAGGTTAATTCACCTTTTCACACCTAAATAAATAAAGAAATAAAACATTAAAAGAAATTGGAATTATTGTGTATTGTAAAATAAATATAATACAAGAGGATATACTATTCTCTGAATCTGTCTTTAAAAGTTATTCGACTAAACGCGCATGAGGCTATCTATTCATTATTTTTCCTTAGTCCTAACTTTGTCGTAAGAGTAACCAAGAAGAGAAAGAAAACCGGTGTGTTTTATGTGTGTGATAACAACTGGATAATATATTAAAATGAAACGGTTTCGTATTAATAGATTCTGAAATTGCATGAAAAGAAACTGTGCAAAATCTGAATGTGGTTTCTCCTTAATTTATATTTTAGCAGCAACAAACTCTAACGCTGCAGAGATTACGTTGCTTGGCAACGTAGAGCATCCCTACAGTTTACTAGAGTATTATGGACTCACTGTGAGCGAATGTGGTAACTTGTGTCTTCGAAACGACTTGTTTCCTTGCCGTTCGTTTCTGTTTGGAAGAAAGAGCGGGCGACCATATTGCGGCCTAACGCATCAGAACAGAGCAGGATTTCTTCAATACCCTGGAAGTCTCAAACCTTCGCAAGCTATTAACTATTATGAGCTTGCTCGAAACCTAGCTGGTCAGTATGTTAAAAGTTACTCAATTTCACCTAGCTAGAGAAACAGGAATTCAACGTATCTATGTTTTCAGAAACCTTGACCTCAATCCTGAAAGGGTCTTAAATGTTATCTCTTATGTTATATTTTGTAAGTTCCTAAAACCACCTACTTTTATTTTGATAAATAAAGTGTCTTATTTTATTCACAATATTATTTTTGATTATACATCTTAGAATCAGTACACCCATTTAAAATAATTATCATCTCTGGTTTTAAAGTATTAGATCACCCCACCCCCTTTTGAAAATCCTGGATCTACCCCTATACTTTTAGATGTAAAACACACATTTATATGTGTCAAACACACCTTTGGTTGTGTTAAGTACAGATACCATTTGTGGTGTCAAATACAAATACACACCTTTAGTTGCCATGTATAGATACACACCTTTAGTTGTGTCAAACATAGATACATACCTTTAGTTGTGCCAAACACAGATACACACCTTTAGTTGTGCCAAACACAGATACACACCTTTAGTTGTGCCAAACACAGATACACACCTTT